GACTAGACACTCCTGGAAGAAAGATGTATAGAGTTGTATATTATCGACTAGACACTACTGCAAGGACGATGTATAGAGTTGTATATTATCGACTAGACACTCCTGGAAGGACGATGTATAGAGTTGTATATTATCGACTAGACACTACTGGAAGAAAGATGTATTGAGTTGTATATTATCGAGTAAACACTCCTGGAAGGACGCTGTATAGAGTTGTATATTATCGACTAGACACTCCTGGAAGAAAGATGTATAGAGTTGTATATTATCGACTAAACACTCCTGGAAAAAAGATGTATAGAGTTGTATATTATCGACTAGACACTCCTGGAAGGACGATGTATTGAGTTGTATATTATCGAGTAGACACTCCTGGAAGAAAGATGTATTGAGTTGTATATTATCGAGTAGACACTCCTGGAAGAAAGGTGTATTGAGTTGTATATTATCGAGTAGACACTCCTAGAAGGACGATGTATTGAGTTGTATATTATCGAGTAGACACTCCTGGAAGAAAGATGTATTGAGTTGTATATTATCGAGTAGACACTCCTAGAAGGACGATGTATTGAGTTGTATATTATCGAGTAGACACTCCTGGAAGAAAGATGTATTGAGTTGTACATTATCGAGTAGACACTCCTGGAAGGACAATGTATTGAGTTGTATATTATCGACTAAACGCTCATGGAAGGACGTTGTATTGAGTTATATATTACCGGCTAGACACACCACGGTAAATATGACTAGATGTTCCGCAAGGTTGAGCGTCTTCCGTTTGATCAACGACAGCTGCCATGTGAATCTTATTCAGTTAGAACTAAACAATGCCATGTCTTACAAATGAGAACAATGTTAATATACCGGAACAAACAGACATACAAACTTACACTGCTAGTACAGGGATGATCAACGATCTTCTCTTTAACTTTTATCAATTTGTATTATACCTGTCAGTTGATGATATGTTGCACTGAAATCATGATATTTGGAACAGTGTGCTTGAATTACAATTCTGGAGGAAATATAAGCAATGGAAATTGACAGTAAACTTCTGGATGTAAGGCTGTGTGAAGAGTTGATTCTACTTGTATATACATCAATGTGCCTTGTTATAAGAAAACGGTTAATATCGCTGTTTGTAATCACTGTTGTAATACATACACATGCACGTAACGAAAACTCTCATTACCAGAATATCAAGGCGTTCCGTCAGTTTGGAATTGTGAGCGGGGAAAAGACATTTGTCAAGAAGGAACATTAAGATGGTTCAAAAAGTTCTATGCAACTCTACATACCATGAATTCTCTAGGAAACACCATCACAATAAGGCTGCAATCGTGAAATGATAGTACTAAGAATTAAATGCAAAATGCTTGATAGATGTTTGGTTGGACTACATGAACAAGCAATAAAACGTCCGTAGCATAGAATCTTGTTTTTGGGTATCCAAGATAAACGAGGAAGGTCCTTTTCAGCAGGTAGCAGTAGTTTACTATGATTCTCTAGTATTTCTTCTTTTGGTGGATTTGATCATGTGAAGTTAGGGTTTCGTTCGATGTCGAGAAAGCTCGCCATATTTCTTTTTGTATGTAACGATATCTACAAAGATCAATGTGTTACAGGTAAACACAATAGCTACTGATTATCAAAATCTTTAAATCTGGTTTTGACAAGAGAATAAAAAAAGAAAGATTTGTTTTGTTTTCTGTTTTAAATGTAAGACACTTATTACTATGAAATTAACAAATATATTGGATTTAATTAACACCGAAAGTAAATCCAACCAAGCATGCTCCTGTTCCATCTACTCTTCAGCAGTTTTCCATGAGTACGTAGCTTGAAATCCATATTCCAAATGATTAAGTGAGTATGGTGACTGTTCTGACACACTGGCACTACAGACCTGTTATCACGAGAACATACGGAATGTCTCACACTGCTCAATTTTGTTGTGAGCTTTAACGAATGATCATTGAGGAAATAAGGGAAATAAACATGTTAAAATCACAAAATAAATAACTGGGAATAAAAAACCTTTGTAGTACACAAACGAAAATGAGAAGACGAATCTGTACTCTTGGACAAGATTAAGAGGGCCCATTTCTTTTCCTCGCACAGCTGGTAAAACAGACATTTTGAGGGCCTGTTCCACAGAGACGTGTTTGGAATGGGTGTTAAACTTGATTCCTCCAATGATAATGGGATTTAATATGTTTCAGGCTAACACAACAACACTTGTGTATTGTAAAGTAGGCTCGTTTAGGGTAATGGTTTGTACCATACGCCCTTAAAATAACGCCCTAACATTTACAAGTTTCATGTGTTACTCAAAAGTTCAAAAATGTTACCAACAAAAAAAATTGTAAACGGGTATTTGATGAGGTGCACGTGCGGTGTTTACAAATTTAAGTCGCTAATATAATTAGTTAATTAAAGTCAATTTCTCCATTCGTGGATGTTAGTTGTGCGTTGATTTGACAAAATACAAAGAAATATTTAACAGCTACACATGTTGGCACGCGACTAGATCTACAAACTGTCGTATTTTTAGCAGCAGGTTCTGTTCTCCTGAGTAGCATTTATCGGGACATATATCAGTCCGTACAATAAATGAAACTGATGGCAATTATAGATTTGAAAACCTTAATTTTCACCAAGAACTGGAAATATGTGAAAATTTTCATATTTTTTTATCTCATTTATGTATTGTAATATGAACCGATGGACTGAAAAATGAAGAAAATTATAGTAAATGTTTTCTATGTATGCCGAAATGATATGACTTACTGCTTACTTATCCAGACAACTGGATCTTAAATGATATTTCTTTCGATCTGAGATTTTATGATTTGAGTATTAGAAGTTTTTTAAATTTTTGCCAGCCTTCACGAGCAAAAAATAGAACTACAAGACGATTTCATAAAAGATATGTTATAAAAAAAAAGAAAAAAAGATTTGAGGTACAGTTTATCACATAACTCAGACAAGTAACATTTTAATAAGTCTTTAATAAACATGTAGAGGACAGAATGAAAAGTAGGTAGACCTTTTGTTACGCCATTTTCCTTTCATAACCTAACGCCATTGTCCAGGCAATTTACTCATAGTTGATTCTCCCTGTTACAGACAATGGTAAACTATGCTTTGTTGCATTAGTGACATATAGTTGATATCACTTGATGCCAAGCACATTAGATCACGGTAATTAATTAGGTAGGGGCTCAAATAATATAACTTAAGATTCTGAGGTGATTGGTTCGTACCTAGACATGTTCGTCAGCACACATGTACGATGTACATGATCATCCATAGCACGTGATCCTAATGCTTACAGATCAAAATTTAATAGGGCGAAAAAATCTTTTCATATACTCGATGTTTTAAACCAGCAACGCAGCATATCTTCAACAATCAGCACCTGACAGCCAATCTATAGACGTAATCCTATGTAGTTAGTTATCGGATAGTCTCGCCTGAAGTTTTCTCTATTCCATAAGAACTTATTTACGTGTAAATACACACCACTTGCTGCATCATCGTTTTAAATCAAACCACACACTTGGGATTATCAACTAAGGACGTGATTCAACAAGTTATTTCGCCCTGTTTTAAACTGATTAAAGCATTGTTTTTAAAAACGATATTGTACATTTGTGTAATTGGTTTCGACAAGTGATTAACACTTCACTTGCGACAGATCCGAACACTCGTTACGAATTCAAACTGCATGTTTTCATTAAACACTTATAACATTTGCATTGTAACGTAGATGTCCTTGACTCTACATCACAAAAATTAAGAGCAACTGATGATGCACGCGCACAGCACGTCTAGACATTAAATCTGCGTACATATCTGTTAGAGACATCAAAATATCTCTCTATAAATATAGTCACTATCTCCGTTCAGATTAAAGATAGGCGTGTTCGCCGGTAACTCGGTAACTGAAACTCCATACCAATACACGATGGCTGTTGTCATTCTCTTCATTTCGTGGACGTTTCGGGTACAGTCTCTTTCATATATTGGAAGATGTTTAGAATGAATAAAGCAGTTTACCATTAGTTTCCTCTCTGTGATATTTGTCGACAATGTACACCCCCATCGTTCTATTTCATTGGTTAATGTGTATGGATACAATTATGGTTTGTTAATAATCTGGAACATTTTTCAACTTCCCATATTGAAGGAAATAATGAATGATATGTTACCTTGGTTGCTTGAGAGGCGAGATATGTGATGCAGTGTATGCGCATGCGCGTGCTAACTCTGCCGAACTGTTGTACCTGCCACAGACAAGTGACACATACAGTTGTTACGTTGTAACATTCACACCAAGGTTAGGATTGGGACAATTAATACGCCTGTCAAGAAAAGTAGTTCGTAATGTAACTTGAAGGTTTCGTACTCGTCTGTTAATGATTACACTGGAGATTGCCGAATGTCACTGTCGCTTTGAGAATATTTATATTGACGGTCTCTAACCATGAAATAAATTCTGTTCGTACCAGATCTGAGTTCACCAATGTAATATAGTTATCGTTTCCGTCATCCATATTCAGTTTGAAATATCCAATACCTTTGACTTTTTTAATCCTACACTTTAGAACAATTTAAGACTAAATAATTTAAACATAACTGGAATCACTCGACACTACCACCACTCGATACAGGCACCACTCGACATTGGCATCACTTGACACTGCCAACCATCGACACTGCCACCTGTCAACACTGGCACCACTCGATACTGGCACCACTTGACACTGTCACCACCAAACATTGCCACCCGTCGACACTGGCATCACTCGACAAGGCCATCAATCGACACTGGCATCACTCGACACTTCCACCACCCAAAACTGCCACCACCTGACACTGCCATCACTCGACACTGCCATCACTCGACTCTGCCATCACTCGACACTGCCAACACTCGACACTTCCAACATTCGACTCTGATACAACCCAACACTTTTCACCACTCGATACTGGCATCACTCCATACTGGCACCACTCGACACTGCCACCTCCCAACACTGCCACCACTCAGCACTTCCACCACTTGACACTTCCAACACTCGACACTGCCACCACCCAACATTGCCACCACTCGACACTGCCACCACTTGACACTGCCACCACCCAACATTGACACTACTCGACACTGCAACCACCCAACACTGGCATCACTCGACACTTCCAACACCAGACACTAACAGCTCCAGACACTGCCACCACCCGACTCTAACAGCTCCAGACACTGCCACCACCCGACACTAGCAACATCAGACGCATCCACCACCCGTCACTAACAGCTCCAAACACTGCCACCATCCAACACTGGCATCACTCGACATTTCCAACACCAGACACTAACAGCTCCAGCCACTGCCACCTTCCGACTCTAACAGCTCCAGACAGGCCACCACCCGCCAATAGCAACACTAGGCGCTGCCACCACCCGACACTAGCAACACCAGATACTGTCACCATCCGACTCTAACAGCTTCAGACACTGCCACCACCCGACACTGTCAGCTCCAGACACAGCCACCACCCGACACTATCAACACCAGACACTACAACCATCCTACACTAGCAGCACCAGACACAGCCACCACCCGACACTATCAGCTCCAGACACTACCACCATCCTACACTAGCAGCACCAGACACGCCACCATCCGATACTAGCAGCACCAGACACGCCACCATCCGACACTAGCAGCACCAGACACAGCCACCACCCGACACTATCAGCTCCAGACACTACCACCATCCTACACTAGCAGCACCAGACACGCCACCATCCGATACTAGCAGCACCAGACACGCCACCATCCTACACTAGCAGCACCAGACACTGCCACCACCCGACACTAGCACTAGCAGCACCAGACACGCCATCATCCGACATTAGCACTACCCGACACTAGCACCACCCGACATTAGCACTACCCGACACTAGCACCACCCAATACTACCACTTCTGTAAGATTGTAAGAAGGGACATAAGTAAATAGTATCTTTCCCATCCGATATTTAGACACAGATATTAGTTAGATGTGTTTATACGTTATAAACAGTACATTCTAATTATTAAATCTGCTGCACGTCACTCTTGGCTCATCAATGGTGCATTTTGAACCAAGAGAACGAATGAGGGAATTTGGAATTTGGTACAAAAATGACAAAAACCAAAACGGGAAGGTGCACGTGCTCCAAAACCAATAGATTTATGTTATTAAGATTGAATTAATTAAGACGTACCTTGTCTGTTATCGACAGCAGTTCGGCAGGAATTATCATTGAAAAAGAAAGAGAAAAACGATGACATTCATTATGAATAAAACATAATTGTCAACCCAAATACGGTATTCCTCCGTAAAGATTAGATATCGAACTGGGACATCGTCATCGTTGCCGCTGTTATTTGGGGGTGTGACTGGCATACCAATGATTTTTTTCTGGACGAAATATGAGCTGATCATGATATTCTAAGTATGCCACTTATTTAGTTTGAAATCTTGGCATGACATCTCTTTAAAACCTTGACAGATAAAACAAGTTAGCAGTATTTAGAAAGGGAATAAGTTAACGAAGGATTCTGTTTCGACCTGAAAACAACTTGGCAATATTTCTTTATAAAAATCATAATTACGGTATTTCTTCAGAGGAAGGTGAACAGATAACGATGTAAGTAGACACACCAACGTGTTGTTTCAGTAAAAGTGTTTTATTTCAAGTTTTTTTTTTTTTTTTTTTGCTTTCGTACTTACCGTACATACACAGAAGCAGGAGGAGAGTAATCACTGAAAAAAAATCACCAAAGATGCGCAAACAAAACCAGATGTTTGCACAAAAACAATCACTTGCCTACAGATTTACTCTATACCTACTAAATAGGCATTCAGTTCCGTAACTGCCGGTACTTGTGTGTGGTTACCTAGTCACCAGGCCCAAGTTGATCAAAGCATGGTTACAGTTAACCAATGACTTTGTTGATTGTTGTCACAGACAATAGAAAGGACTTTCAGAGCAAAACTGACTCTAAAATCATCAATCTCTGATATCTCAACAAACAGCTGTGGAATGATAAAAATGCTTTCGGTTTTGTTTAATTCATTTTTTTTCTTTAACCACTCTAACTAACTTTTGAGCAACCTTGGCAAGGCGTAATGGTATAATAGCGATCAACTTTACACATTTGTTCTGCTGGTATCAAAGATAAACGGCATCAAAGTTTAAAATCTAACGTTTAAAACAATAAGAAATCGCGGACTCATTTCTCTCTATCTAGACTTATTTTAAAAAGAAAATTCTAGTGTATTGTTTTTGTACTTTGACGATAACCTAATTCTATTTCATTCATTAAGGTATTTTTCATATTTCACAAAAACTATGGAGAAATATTAACTCACTTATTGCTAACAGCAAATTTATGCATTATTATAGCAAATGTAGTTTGTATAATAAATTATTCGGTGTGAAATCATAGAAATATATAACAGAGCTTTGAGAGTGACCTGTGTTGTATAATTTGCATATTCAGGTGTGGGCGAATTACATTGAACCGTTAACGTATAGAGATAAAAAACCCACCGCGAAACAGATGCTTACCATGGATAAGATAGACGTGTCAGTTTTCAGTTCAAAGTGGCACTGTACTTTATTTAATTCATAGAAACTCTAGGCGGTGTTACAGAATTAGGAATCCTGGCCATGTTTAAAACAGGAAGAAACACTGTCCGGTTTTTATTTGAAAGGGCGGATAAGAACGATCTGTTCAACTGCATTGAATAAGTAGCATACCGTAAGATAGATTTTATATGTTTACTGAAATAGAACTGCGGAAGTCAGGCGAGATGGAGAACTGGAATAAATGTGGCCTCTTAATCGGATATTGCCCATACGAGTATTCCGCTTGGGACGAACTGAGCAGTACAGACATCGGCAAATGTTTTTTTTTTCTCAGCGCTTCTGTAATAGTCAGACCTGTTCTGCAATTTCCAACAAGTTGTCTTGACTAAGACTAGAAGTATTTATCGCAGATTGATAGGGACTGACAAATCATCAATTATTTCAAATAGAATCTTCATAAATGGAAATGTCTTAAGCGTCTGTGATGTTGAAGCAAGGTTCCCGGCGATTCGTAAATACTGGCAATCTATTTTGTTTGGATGCTAAAATTGATAAATTGTTTTGTTTGTGTGTTCTAATATACAACATGTTACATAATAAAGCATTGAGCAATTTCATGTCCATTTTTTCGTTCTTGAACAATTAAATATAGAAGTCTATGTGAGTGATATTTTATGTTTCTTTCCGTGAACTATAATGATATTTCCGAACTGAGTATAGATAGAGGCGTTCATGCACTTAATCATTATGAAGCTGGTGAAAAACGTTTACTCTTTAGAGAGTACTTGTGATCAGAGGAAGAGTGCATGTGGTTCTATTCTTTATTCATATTTCTAAGCCGTATTATTCCGTAACCGTCACCTTTCTGTAGGTATTGACACCTTTTGACTGCCACAAACACGCAAAGTCCTTTGTACAACGAGACATTTACAGTATTATTTACCATTGTGATATCTTCCTTTTCGTTTTTTCCTCGCTCAGACTTTTATTTGTTAATTTTATCTAGACTTAATACCTTACAATATCGTCTTCTTAATACAAACACAGCGGTGACATCTTTCGTTTATTTGTTTTAATCCAATTTAATGTTAAATATGATACAACAAAGTCGTCTTTCTTTGTGTTAAGTTTTCTAAACTGACACAATTCTACCATAAATGTCCGATATTTTAAATCAAACACGAGACGTACATCCGGGTATTATAAAGATAAAAGTTCTAGTTTACCAGTTAAACATCAGGTTACATACCAATAAAATTAATTCAGAAGGTATCGGCGACATTCACGTAACATCTAATTCACGATACAGCAAAAAAAGTACATTGTAATTCGAAATTTTAATATAGTTCAGTTAAATAACGAAACTGTGTCATGTATGTAATTCAACCACTTTCTTAAACTTCTACGATGCCGTAATGTAATTTGTGCAGTTGACGCGGCAACCAACTGCCGTCAAATTGTCCTTTTTATTGACGGTGAGAATTTGTTTCTTTGCTGTCAAGCCGAGTCGACATGACAATTGCTACAGAAGGTGTGACAAGGGTTATGTCGGATAAAAAAGCTACTGACAATAGCATTAACACCTGAATAACAGCAGTAATGACCGTCCAACTGTCATGGTGATTAGGTTTACTGGTGTGATGTTAAGGTAAACACATTTACAGGTTTGTTTAACTCGGTTGGACATAGGTTTACTGATGTGACGTTTTGTAGGTCGGTTGGACATAGGTTTACTGATGTGACGTTTTGTAGGTTGGTTGGACATAGGTTTACTGATGTGACGTTTTGTAGGTTGGTTGGACATAGGTTTACTGATGTGACGTTTTGTACTAGGTTGGTTGGACATAGGTTTACTGGTGTGACATTTTGTACTAGGTTGGTTGGACATAGGTTTACTGGTGTGACGTTTTGTAATAGGTTGGTTGGACATAGGTTTACTGATGTGACGTTTTGTACTAGGTTGGTTGGACATAGGTTTACTGGTGTGACATTTTGTAGGTAGGTTGAACATAGGTTTACTGTTGTGACGTTTTGTACTAGGTCGGTTGGACATAGGTTTACTGATGTGACGTTTTGTAGGTTGGTTGGACATAGGTTTACTGATGTAACGTTTTGTACTAGGTTGGTTGGACATAGGTTTACTGGTGTGACGTTTTGTACTAGGTTGGTTGGACATAGGTTTACTGGTGTGACGTTTTGTACTAGGTTGGTTGGACATAGGTTTACTGGTGTGACGTTTTGTAGGTTGGTTGGACATAGGTTTACTGGTGTGACGTTTTGTACTAGGTTGGTTGGACATAGGTTTACTGGTGTGACATTTTGTACTAGGTTGGTTGGACATAGGTTTACTGATGTGACGTTTTGTACTAGGTTGGTTGGACATAGGTTTACTGGTGTGACGTTTTGTACTAGGTTGGTTGGACATAGGTTTACTGGTGTGACGTTTTGTACTAGGTTGGTTGGACATAGGTTTACTGGTGTGACGTTTTGTACTAGGTCGGTTGGACATAGGTTTACTGATGTGACGTTTTGTACTAGGTCGGTTGGACATAGGTTTACTGATGTGACGTTTTGTAGGTCGGTTGGACATAGGTTTACTGGTGTGACATTTTGTACTAGGTCGGTAGGACATAGGTTTACTGGTGTGACATTTTGTACTATGTCGGTTGGACATAGGTTTACTGGTGTGACGTTTTGTACTAGGTCGGTTGGACATAGGTTTACTGGTGTGACATTTTGTACTAGGTTGGTTGGACATAGGTTTACTGGTGTCACATTTTGTACTAGGTTGGTAGGACATAGGTTTACTGGTGTGACATTTTGTACTAGGTTGGTTGGACATAGGTTTACTGGTGTGACGTTTTGTACTAGGTTGGTTGGACATAGGTTTACTGGTGTGACGTTTTGTACTAGGTTGGTTGGACATAGGTTTACTGGTGTGACGTTTTGTACTAGGTCGGTTGGACATAGGTTTACTGGTGTGACGTTTTGTAGGTTGGTAGGACATAGGTTTACTGGTGTGACGTTTTGTAGGTTGGTTGGACATAGGTGTAGGTTGGTAGGACATAGGTTTACTGGTGTGACGTTTTGTACTAGGTCGGTTGGACATAGGTTTACTGATGTGACGTTTTGTAGGTTGGTTGGACATAGGTTTACTGGTGTGACATTTTGTACTAGGTTGGTTGGACATAGGTTTACTGGTGTGACGTTTTGTACTAGGTTGGTTGGACATAGGTTTGGACTAGGTTTACTGTGTGACGTTTTGTAGGTAGGTTTCGGTTGGACATAGGTTTACTGGTGTGACGTTTTGTAGGTTGGTAGGACATAGGTTTACTGGTGTGACGTTTTGTACTAGGTCGGTTGGACATAGGTTTACTGGTGTGACGTTTTGTACTAGGTTGGTTGGACATAGGTTTACTGGTGTGACGTTTTGTACTAGGTTGGTTGGACATAGGTTTACTGGTGTGACGTTTTGTACATAGGTTTACTGGACGTTTTGGGTTGGTCATAGGTTTACTGGTGTGACGTTTTGTACTAGGTTGGTTGGACATAGGTTTACTGGTGTGACGTTTGTACTAGGTTGGTTGGACATAGGTTTACTGGTGTGACGTTTTGTAGGTTGGTGGGACATAGGTTTACTGGTGTGACGTTTTGTACCAGGTTGATTGGACATAAGTTTACTGGTGTGACGTTTTGTAGGTTAGTTGGACATAGGTTTACTGGTGTGACATTTTGTACTAGGTCGGTTGCACATAGGTTTACTGATATGACGTTTTGTAGGTTGGTTGGACATAGGTTTACTGATGTAACGTTTTGTACTAGGTTGGTTGGACATAGGTTTACTGGTGTGACGTTTTGTAGGTTAGATGGACATAGGTTTACTGGTGTGACATTTTTTACTAGGTTGGTTGGACATAGGTTTACTGATGTGACGTTTTGTACTAGGTTGGTTGGACATAGGTTTACTGGTGTGACGTTTTGTACTAGGTCGGTTTGACATAGGTTTACTGATGTGACGTTTTGTACTAGGCTGGTTGGACATAGGTTTACTGGTGTGACATTTTGTAGGTAGGTTGGTTGGACATAGGTTTACTGATGTGACGTTTTGTACTAGGTTGGTTGGACATAGGTTTACTGGTGTGACGTTTTGTACTAGGTTGGTTGGACATAGGTTTACTGGTGTGACGTTTTGTACTAGGTCGGTTGGACATAGGTTTACTGGTGTGACGTTTTGTACTAGGTCGGTTGGACATAGGTTTACTGATGTGACGTTTTGTAGGTTGGTTGGACATAGGTTTACTGGTGTGACATTTTATAGGTTGGCAGGACATAGGTTTACTGGTGTCACATTTTGTACTAGGTCGGTTGGACATAGGTTTACTGGTGTGACGTTTTGTAGGTTGGTTGGACATAGGTTTACTGGTGTGACGTTTTGTACTAGGTTGGTTGGACATAGGTTTACTGGTGTGACGTTTTGTACTAGGTTGGTTGGACATAGGTTTACTGGTGTGACGTTTTGTACTAGGTTGGTTGGACATAGGTTTACTGATGTGACGTTTTGTACTAGGTCGGTTGGACATAGGTTTACTGGTGTGGCGTTTTGTACAAGGTCGGTTGGACATAGGTTTACTGGTGTGGTATTTTGTACTAGGTCGGTTGGACATAGGTTTACTGATGTGACGTTTTGTACTAGGTCGGTTGGACATAGGTTTACTGGTGTGACGTTTTGTACTAGGTTGGTTGGACATAGGTTTACTGGTGTGACGTTTTGTACTAGGTCGGTTTGACATAGGTCTACTGATGTGACGTTTTGTAGGTCGGTTGGACATAGGTTTACCGGTGTGACGTTTTGTACTAGGTCGGTTGGACATAGGTTTACTGGTGTGACGTTTTGTAGGTTGGTAGGACATAGATTTACTATTGTGACGTTTTGTAGGTTGGTTGGACATAGGTTTACTGGTGTGACGTTTTGTACTAGGTCGGTTGGACATAGGTTTACTGGTGTGACGTTTTGTAGGTTGGTGGGACATAGGTTTACTGATGTGACGTTTTGTACTAGGTTGGTTGGACATAGGTTTACTGGTGTGACGTTTTGTAGGTTGGTTGGACATAGGTTTACTGATGTGACGTTTTGTACTAGGTTGGTTGGACATAGGTTTACTGGTGTGACGTTTTGTACTAGGTTGGTTGGACATAGGTTTACTGGTGTGACGTTTTGTACTAGGTTGGTTGGACATAGGTTTACTGGTGTGACGTTTTGTAGGTTGGTTGGACATAGGTGTAGGTTGGTAGGACATAGGTTTACTGTTGTGACGTTTTGTAGGTAGGTTGGACATAGGTTTACTGATGTGACATTTTGTAGGTAGGTTGGACATAGGTTTACTGGTGTGACGTTTTGTACTAGGTTGGTTGGACATAGGTTTACTGGTGTGACGTTTTGTAGTAGATCGGTTGGACAAAGGTTTACTAGGGTGACGTTTTGTAGGTTGGTAGGACATAGGTTTACTGGTGTGACGTTTTGTACTAGGTCGGTTGGACATAGGTTTACTGATGTGACGTTTTGTAGGTTGGTTGGACATAGGTTTACTGGTGTGACGTTTTGTACTAGGTCGGTTTGACATAGGTTTACTGATGTGACGTTTTGTAGGTTGGTAGGACATAGGTTTACTGATGTGACGTTTTGTTGGTTGGTTGGACATAGGTTTACTGGTGTGACATTTTGTAGGTTGGTTGGACATAGGTTTACTGATGTGACGTTTTGTAGGTTGGTTGGACATAGGTTTACTGATGTGACGTTTTGTACTAGGTCGGTTGGCCATAGGTTTACTGGTGTGACGTTTAGTACTAGGTAGGTTTGACATAGGTTTACTGATGTGACGTTTTGTACTAGGTCGGTTGGACATAGGTTTACTGATGTGACGTCTTGTACTAGGTTGGTTGGACATAAGTTTACTGGTGTGACATTTTGTACTAGGTCGGTTGGACATAGGTTTACTAATAGTCTTCTCCAGGAAAATGCATCAAACTGTGGCTTTAGATCACAAAATACCATGAAATTAGACATTTTCACAAGAAAAAAGAGTAAAAAAGCAATATATGACAATTGGCGTTTAATTTCCTGGACATACAGTACTCACAAACTCCGCTAGTGTATATATGTAGTCATGTCAATTTTCAGTTGTTTATTTTTTTCGTGGATATATAAATCCATGAATTAAGAATACCCTAAAGGTAACGACAACAAACCCTCCGCGGATATTAATGAATTAACAGAATCTTACGTGCTGTTAGTGCAGTTCTGCATTCCATAACAACCAAGTGGAAATATTTCAGCTCTGATTCCCAACAACCACGTGTTTCTCCCTAGGGATATGCACCAATGTCGGAGGTGAACTGGAAATACACCAATGTCGGGAGTGTACTGGAAATACACCAATGTCGGGACTGGAAATACACCAATGTCGGGACTGGAAATAATCCAATGTCGGGAAAGTACAGGAAATACACCAATGTCGGGAAAGTACAGGAAATACACCAATGTCGGGAGTGTACTGGAAATACACCAATGTCGGAACTGGAAATACACCAATGTCGGGAGTGTACAGGAAATACACCAATGTCGGGAAAGTACAGGAAATACACCAATGTCGTAAGTGTACAGGAAATACACCAATGTCGGGAGTGTACTGGAAATACACAAATGTCGGGAGTGTACTGGAAATACACTAATGTCGGAAGTGTACTGGAAATACACCAATGTCGGGAGTGTACTGGAAATACACCAATGTCGGGAGTGTACTGGAAATACACCAATGTCGGAAGTGTACTGGAAATACACCAATGTCGGGAGTGTACTGGAAATACACCAATGTCGGGAGTGTACTGGAAATACACCAATGTCGGTAGTGTACTGAAAATACACCAATGTCGGGACTGAAAATACACCAATGTCGGGACTGAAAATACACCAATGTCGGGAGTGTACAGGAAATACACCAATGTCGGTAGTGTACTGGAAATACACCAATGTCGGGAGTGTACTGGAAATACACCAATGTCGGTAGTGTACTGAAAATACACCAATGTCGGGACTGAAAATACACCAATGTCGGGAGTGTACAGGAAATACACCAATGTCGGGACTGAAAATACACCAATGTTGGGAGTGTAATGGAAATACACCAATGTCGGGAGTGTACAGGAAATACACCAATGTCGGGAGTGTACTGGAAATACACCAATGTCGGGAGTGTACTGGAAATACACCAATGTCGGGAGTGTACTGAAAATACACCAATGTCGGGAGTGTACTGGAAATACACCAAATATCAACAACTGACAGCTTATCCCGAAAAGAAATATAGATATATTATTGTTTCTATGTATGAATGATACGAAAAAAAATGTGTGAGGTTCTTGTCACTATCACCCAACAGCCTCCTACCGTAACCCCAACTTCAAACCGCCCCAAGGAGAGAGCATCAACCACACACCTCTTCATACGAGGTTCGATGGTCTACCGGCTGAGCTCTCCTGGCCTCTTATAATAAGATAACAGATCACATCAGCTGATTCATGAATAGCTACGAATGTTAATGATGTTCTCAATATTTGTGTAGAAATGGGCTCAACAACACACATTATCTGTACGCTGTATCTATAAACTTTAACTAGCTTACTCTACAGTGATGATTTTTTTCTGAACTTACAAAGAATGAATTTATTAGAATAAAAAGGCTTTGGTGCTCTTTAGATTGAGAGATATTCTGAATGGATGATAACAACAAACCATCACAGTGTTACATGTACAGCTTCATATACAAATTATTTTAAATGTAGGGTAGAAAATAACCACCGTTATCTAACGACTCACACGGAAGTTGACCTACACTAGGGTTCCATTTGTTTGGTATGATGAGCGTGTGATTTGGTATTATTACGAACCAGTTGTATGATGTAGCATCGCTGACGGGTCCTAGAAGGACGAACCAGTTGTATGGTTGTATGATGTAGCGTCAATGACGGGTCCTAGAAGGACGAACCAGTTGTATGATGTAGCATCACTGACAGGTCCTAGCATCACTGACGGGTTCTAGAAGGACGAACCAGTTGTATTTTTGAATGATGTAGCATCACTGACGGGTCCTAGAAGGACGAGCCAGTTGTATGGTTGTATGATGTAGCATCACTGACGGGTCCTAGAAGGACGAACCAGTTGTATGATGTAGCATCACTGACGGTTCCTAGAAGGACGAACCAGTTGTATGGTTGTATGATGTAGCATCACTGACGGGTCCTAGAAGGACGAACCAGCTGTATGATGTAGCATCATTTACGGGTCCTAGAAGGACGAGACAGCTGTATGATGTAGCATCACTGACGGGTCCTAGAAGGACGAACCAGTTGTATGGTTGTATGATGTAGCATCACTAACGGGTCATAGAAGGATGAACCAGTTGTATGGTTGTATGATGTAGCATCACTAACGGGTCCTAGAAGGACGAGCCAGTTGTATGGTTGTATGATGTAGCATCACTGACGGGTCCTAGAAGGAAGAACCAGTTGTATGGTTGTATGATGTAGCATCACTAACGGGTCATAGAAGGATGAACCAGTTGTATGGTTGTATGATGTAGCATCACTGACGGGTCCTAGAAGGAAGAACCAGTTGTATGGTTGTATGATGTAGCATCACTGACGGGTCCTAGAAGGAAGAACCAGTTGTATGGTTGTATGATGTAGCATCACTGACGGGTCCTAGAAGGACGAACCAGTTGTATGGTTGTATGATGTAGCATCACTGACGGGTCCTAGAAGGAAGAACCAGTTGTATGGTTGTATGATGTAGCATCACTGACGAGTCCTAGAAGGAAGAACCAGTTGTATGGTTGTATGATGTAGCATCACTGACGGGTCCTAGAAGGATGAACCAGTTGTATGGTTGTATGATGTAGCATCACTAACGGGTCATAGAAGGATGAACCAGTTGTATGGTTGTATGATGTAGCATCACTGACGGGTCCTAGAAGGAAGAACCAGTTGTATGATGTAGCATCACTGACGGGTCCTAGAAGGACGAACCAGTTGTATGGTTGTATGATGTAGCATCACTGACGGGTCATAGAAGGATGAACCAGTTGTATGGTTGTATGATGTAGCATCACTAACGGGTCCTAGAAGGATGAACCAGTTGTATGGTTGTATGATGTAGAATCACTGACGGGTCCTAGAAGGAAGAACTAGTTGTATGGTTGTATGATGTAGCATCACTAACGGGTCATAGAAGGATGAACCAGTTGTATGGTTGTATGATGTAGCATCACTGACGGGTCCTAGAAGGAAGAACCAGTTGTATGGTTGTATGATGTAGCATCACTGACGGGTCCTAGAAGGATGAACCAGTTGTATGGTTGTATGATGTAGCATCACTGACGGGTCCTAGAAGGAAGAACCAGTTGTATGGTTGTATGATGTAGCATCACTGACGGGTCCTAGAAGGACCAACCAGTTGTATGGTTGTATGATGTAGCATCACTGACGGGTCCTAGAAGGACGAACAAGTTGTATGGTGCAGTTTAATTACTTGTTTGTGTCTACTGTATACAATTCTTGTTTTGTATTAAAAGGTGTTATTCATAGGATAAGAATGCCGTCTGTGTAAAAAAAAGTTAAAACAAGTGCGCATATCAATTCTCAAATGTTGATATATATCACGCAGCCACAGTTAGTGAACTTCGACAATATAGACGAGCTCAAAAGTACATCATACCGAATCTGGTGATGAACAGAACTAAGCATACTGATGGTCATGTTCATCAAACTAAACGATACTGAAGACATAGGGAATTTGTTGTGACAAAAATGTGGATAAATATTGATTTTGAAGTGATAGTAAGCGATTGTGATTATGATACTGTTGTTGAAACGATTTAAAGTGCATGTCCAGCCGAAAGCATATTGTGGGGCGGATGTAAGGTGCTGTCTCAGAAAATCGTGTAATCTGCTAAATAACTTCTAAACCAAAAATTTGAGTTATCATGTCTGCCACGATTGGAATCACCAAACCTTTTTC